ATATATATATATATATATATAAATATATATATATTTATATATATATATACTTATTTATAATTTTATTTATTTAAATTATTTATATTTTCAATTTAAATTTTATTAATTAATTTTTTTCTAATTTTATTTTAATATTTATTCCTTTTATATACATTAATATTTATTATTTTATTTTATTTTTTATATATTTTAAAAAGATTTTTTTTTTATTATATATATGTATTTTTTTTTATATCTATTTTATATATATTGTTTTTTAATTTAGTTTTTTTTAAAAAATACTATAAATTATAATACTTTATATATACATTATTATATATATCGTTTTCATAATTTTTGTTATTTTATTCTTTAATTATTATATCTTAACGATTTTATTTTTAAAAAATGTTAATCTATTTCATTTCATTTTATTCATTTCAGTTTATTTTATTTTTATATTTATTGTAAATCTTAATTTAAAATTAGTATTTTATTTAAATATATTTTTTAATTAAACATTATATATACAAATAAATAATATTATATTTTGATTAATAATAAAATTATTTTATATACATCAATATGAATAATAGTTTCTAAAATTTTTCTATTGAATTAACTAAATTAAAATCTGAAATGTTTATTTAATTAGAAAATTAATCTAAAAGTTTTATTCAATATTGTCAGAATAACCATTCAAATAACATTGATAAATATGTTAAATGTAGAATGTAAAGAGATGATAATTTAAGACGAGAACTAAAAAAACTTGAATTAAAATTAAGATATTTAGAACTATAATCATAATAAATAGAAGTATAAAATTAAAATAATTAAAAAGTTGATGAAATTGCTAATTACTTTTTAGAAAATTACAAAAAAATATATTAATAAGCATTTTAATAAATATAATGACCTTGAATAAAAAAAAAATATTATATATATATAAAAAAAAAATTATACAGAAAAAAGTAAAACAAAATAGGTTTCATTTTTTATTTAAAATTTGGGCCCCTTTATTTAATTGTTCCATATCTAATTATAGCCATTTAAGTATATAAGGCGTATTTAATACAAAAAGTCTAAATTAAACATAATTAATGGAATCTTCATTAATTTAAGTATTTTTATCTATATTGTTTAAATTTGTCTTTTTTTCTGAAGAAAGAATTTCATTGGGATAATTAATTCTTATATTTTTTAATTATTCATATACTAATTTTTTTAATATCTAGTCTTCTAATTTAACCAAAGGAAATTATTCAAGAATCTTTTTGAGAAATAAAAATACTTAATGCACGTTAATTACTTTTTGATTGTTTTGATCAATTAAATTAAATGCAAATCTAATCTGAAATTCTTAATTTGAACTTATTAAATTAGACATTCCAAGTACGAATTCTCGAAAATTAATTACAGTGTCGTTATTTATGTCAAATACATTAAATATTGTTTAAGAAACTTCCTAATTACTCACTTTTAAAGCTTATGAAAATTCATCTAAATCAATAACTCCATCATCTTTACTTGAAGAGGATATTTATTTAAAAAAAATATGAAGATTCTGCACTTATTAAAAAGTAAGATTTGTTAAATTTGTATATTCCAATAATTCATATTATGTTAATTTTTTTATTTCGTATTTCCTGATCCCATTAATAAAATAATTTTATTTATAAAAAATTAGATAATTTTATTACATAATTTATAATATATATATTAAATATATATATATATATATATATATATATATATTATTTATATTTATATTTAAAAAATAAAAATTATATATAATATATTATTTTTTATCCTAAAAAATATTTTTCAAAAACTGCTATTTTAATCTTTTTATGAACCTCCTTATATAATTTCTTATTTATTAATATTTTATGACTACATATTTATCAAGAAAATTTACTTATCAATCATTTTCTAATCTATTTGCTAATCTTTAATGCAAAGTCCTAAATTTTAAACTGCCTTTACACAACTTTTATTATTATTTTAAAAAATATTTAAATTTTATTATAAATCTATCATTTATTTATTTTCTTCTTTATTTCCAGTTATAAAATCAACTATTTCTTATATTAAACTATTAAAAATTTCATCTGAAATTTCTAATTAAACATCAGTTTCTTCATCTTCATAAAGAAGCCATTTATCCTCATTTTCAAGTACTTCATTTTCAAGCATTTAGGCTAATCTATCTTCTTTTATTTAATTTAAATAATCATCGTCTATTTATATAATTTCTCCTGTAGGACTTTCTATTCTTTCAGGAATAAAACCGCATAAAGATGAACCCCATTTTAATACTTTGGCTATTGCTAAACCGAATATTTTTTCGATGTTATCTTAAGTTATTTTTATAGAACAGAGCTTGTTAATATTTATTTTCCATGGTAGTGGCTTTCCTCTTAAACCAAAAGGCCTCATAGAGTCTAATGCTTCATTAAAACAGTCAAACGTCATTTTCATATGGAACTTTTCGAGTTCTATGAGTTCTTGGGATAATAAATTATTATCTTTATTGAAAATTTCGTTAAAGTTTAGGAATATTTCTTCCGATATTACTGTTTTTTGGATTTATATGTATTTTATGACAGGATATATTGGAGTTTATAATATTTCTTGTGAAGAATTTTCAAGGTTTTCGGTTAAATTGAAAGCTTTAAGAAATTCGAGAGAGTCAATTCCTATAGGGATGTTTATTTTGGATAAGAATTCGTCTTTAAAATTATCTTTTATATATTCAGAAAAGGCTACTAAATAATCTTTAATATAATTTAATGTAGCATATTCTAAACCTTATTATTAATTATTATTATTTTATATATTTTGATCTGTAATAATATTATTCTATTATAAATTATATTCTTATATATCATATGGTTTACAGTTTATGTTTTCTATTTCTTTAGGATATATATCTTATTAATTTACAATTTAATTTAGGGCTTTATTAGTACTTTCAATATTGCATTCTATGTTATTTTCTATATTATTTAATTTATAATATTTATTATTTTCTATGTTATTTATTTTATTATCATAATTATTTAATTTAAATATATCGACAATTTTAATTTATTATTAATTATTTTCTTAAGGAGTTCTTAAATTGCAGAGTTCTTCAAAAGATTTTCTTTCGTCTTTTAAATCTTCTAATGAATGTTCACTCTCTGATCTTAACGAAAACATTTTCTTTAGTTAATCTTCTTCGAAACTTTAAAGGAATTTCGAAGAATTCAAGCCTTTTATTTAGTCGATAAAAATTTGGTCTTTTTTTGTCTTTTTTATAGTTTCGGCAAAAGTACGCATTCCTTTTTCGATTTATGAATGTGCTTTTTTTAACTATAGTTTTTCTTTAGATACCCATTTTTCAAGCTATAATTATTTATTTTAATAACTTTTGGGGGATATATGGTTTTTTTCGTGTAGTTTTTGGATTATTTCAAGCTCTTTTTAATGTTTTGAGTCTATAACCTCTTCTCTTTTGAAAATTATTTGATCTATTTAGTCTTCTTTTAAAAGAAAATTATCATTTTATGGTAATATTTCTTCCTTTTCTAATTAATTGTATAAATTTTCAATTTATTAATTAACTTCCGTTGTTAATTTGGAGTCTTTTTGTATATTTTTAAGTTGTTATTTAATTAATTCGAATTATTGTTTTTTGGTTTCTTTAAGTTTTTTTATTTCTTCTTCTAAATTTTTTTCTTTGGGTTTTTCTGTATATTCATTTAGCTATTATTATTGGTCATATTTTTAGATTTCCTATATATTTTTAGTCTATTATATATAATTAAAATTTAAATTATTGCCTTCTAAAAGTTCATCAGGTTCAATTTAATTTTCTTCCAAATAATTATTCTCATCAAAAACTTCATCTTCTTCATCGCCCGATTCATATTATTATTTAAGGAGTATACATAAGTATTTTCTAGTCAAATAGCCTTTAAATACTTTTGATATTATTGTAGCTGCAGCATCATAAAGGAATAACTATTCCTATAATATTTGAATTTCAGGGTCATCTTAGTCACCTTTTTGGAGCATTTCTTATAGTTATTGGATTTATTAGTAATTTAATTCAAATAAATATTCTGGGTTTTTTTCTTTTTCTATAGATTTTTTAGTCAAGCTTTGTTCTTCTAGGTTTTTTCTTCTAGAAGGAATTTCTAGTATTTATTGGTTTTTTTTAGTATTTTCGTTTTCTATTTTGGATTTTCTATTTATTGGACTTTCATTGGTTTTTTATTGAATTTCCTTTTTTTTTTATGGACTTTGCTATTTTTTATAGTTTCTTTCGATTTATAATTATGATAAATTTTCTTCTTATTATTTATTTATTTTTTCTTGGTTTTAATTAATTCTAATTAAATCTTTTTTTGAGTCTTAATTTTTTTATTTAAATTAAGAAACTCTATCATTAATATTAAGGAATTTTTATTTTAATTCGTTTGTTTTTTCCTTTAAAATATCATTAACTGGAATTTCTTTTATCAAATTAGGGTTAAATTTTTAAACATTATTTCCGTTTTTGATATTATTTGCACTATTTGAGCAATGTAAGCTTTTACTTTTTTTTTTTTAGTTTTTTATTTTTGCTTGGTTATTGTTTCTGAAAATTCTAGTAAATATTTTTCATCGAAATCTTTTTTTTTGTACTTAATTTAAAATTCATATATACATTTCATTTTTTTTTTTTTTTAATTTTCTATATATATATGTATATATATTATAATATTTACGTACAACTACCTGAAATGTTAAACATTTTTTTAAATTCGTTATTTAAAAGTTCAAAATTATCCTAAAAATTCATATTTGTTGATTATAAATGTCTATTTTTCTTATTTTTCTTATTTTACATATTTGAATAGTAGTTATTTTGTAAAAAGGTACTATCTTATTATTATTCTAGGCCAGATTATTGTTAATAATCATCATTCTTTTTATAATAATGAAGGCTTTTTTATTTAGTTTTTTTAATCACTCTGTCTAATATTATTAGGTTTTTTCGTAATTTTTCTTATCTTCTTTTTATATCTTCTTGTTTTTTCTTACTTTCTTCTTCCATTTTTCTCTTTTTTAAAATCATAAAAAGCTTTATTTCTTGTTATTATTTATTTATTAAATTTTATTTTTCTAATGTATATATATTTATACATATAAATATTTTATTTTATTTTACTTTTTTAATCAGTATTTTAGTTAGATAAACTTTAAGAAATTGATTATTATTAATGAATTTTTCTTTTATAAACTTATAAAAAAAAAATATTTATTTTTAAAAAATTTTATATATTAAAAATATTTATATAAACTTTTACTCTAAATTGCTTTTTTAATAAAAGAATCATTAAAATTATTTAAACCGATAGTTTCTCTACGATTGTTTTTTTTTAAGCTTTTTTAATTATTATTAATTATATTTAAAGAATATTATTAAATATTGCATGAATGTTCTAGTTTAGATTATTGAATTTCTTTTATTCTTTTTTAATTTGTACCCCAGGCAAATTTGTGATAACTTAGCTTTCTTTTATTTTTTTTGAGACTTTTACAAAATCTTATTAAATTATCTTTTCTTATTTAACTATTTAATAATTTTCTTTATTCATTTTCGATTATTTTTTTCACTTTTTATTCATATTCTTATTATTTCTTTAATTAGTTTTCCACTTTAATTTATTTATTTTAAATTAAAAATTTGAATTAATCTATATAAATTGGTTTACTTGTTATATTTTATGCACTTTATTATACTAATAATTCTACTTCTTTTATTTTATTTTAGTCTTAATTTTACTATTATTATTATTATTGTTATTATTATTGTTATTATTGTTATTATTGTTATTATTATTGTTATGTATTTTATTCTAAATTAATCTTTTTGAATGAATTTTTTTCTGAAATTGATTTTTTTAATGTGCGTGTTTTTTTAGTTTTTATAACTGGTTTTTGTAAATTTTTATTACTATTTTAAAGTACTCCTTTTATTATTTCACAATGTACTGATTTTGTTTTTTGAGGAATTATATTTTTTTGTATTTCTGGTGAATTGGTTTATGTTTTTATTTATTAAGGAATATTTATTACTTAATATTAAATATTTTTCTTTTATTCAATATTAGTATTTATTTTCAAACTTTAGTAATTTGTCTTTATTGATATTGGAAATTATTCTTTTTTTTTTTTTTTTTAAAAAAAAAAAAAAATGTATATTATTTTTTATTATTTTAAATACTTTTTTATGGACGAGATTTTATAGAAACTTCTTTAAATTAATCTAATTTTCTGCCTTATATTATTGTGCATTTTTTTAATGGAAAATTTAAATTTTCATGAATATTTAAATTCAAATTTATGTTTAAACAATCAGTTTATTTTATTATATTGTTATTCATTTTTGAATTAATTTATTTATTTTTTTCTTTGTATATTTGTTTTATTAAAAAAATATTTAATACAAGAAAATAAAAATAATTAAAGCGTTGCTTTTATTAAAATTTTAAATAATAAAATAAATATTTAAAGTTATTTCTAGTTTTCTATTTTATAGAATTTAAAAAGGATATAATTTTATTGATTTATATTATTAACTTAAAAATATACATAAATTATTTAAAAAAAATAATTTAAAATTTGAATATTTTTATATTTTAGTTATTTAATATAATTTATTCTTATAAATTCTTATATTTTTAAAATCAGATTTATTATATTCAAAAAAAGAAGGTATTTCAATGAATAATTTTATTGATAATACATTTGTTTTAAAAAATCATTTATATAATAAATAAAATATAATAATATATATTTCCATTTTTATTTTTTTAATTAAATAAAATTTTTATAAAAAATGATAAAATAATAATTTTTTATAAAATATAATATTAAAAAATAATAATATTAGAATTTATCTATTTTTTATTCATAAGACTAGAACAATAATATAAAATATGATAAGCTAAACCGAGACATAAAGCCATTATTATATAATTTAAATAAGTGATCAATAGGGATATTATTATTAAAATATATCCTTTATTTTATTCTTGATTTTTATCTAATATTACAGTGAAAGTATTATAATATATATCATACATATTTTTGTATTTTCGCACTCTAAATTAATTATTATATGATTTATAACCAAAAAATATGATTTCATATTAAAGTGCATACATTTAATTTATAGATTTAAATGCATCAAGTTTTCAAATATGTGATTTTTTTTTTATGATAATATAGTCAAAATCAAGTTTATTACAAGTATTTTTAAAAATTAAAAAGCGGAACTTTTAATATATTTTGAATAAATTGTCTGAGTTGAAATTTAAATTGTATTTTTAAGTATTTTAGTGGTAATTTTATAGATTAAGGAGATAGAAACTCTTTTTTTTTAATAGGGTAAGAGGTGTAAATGGGGAAATTTTTGTTCAGAAATATTTTAAGAAAATTATTTCAGTTAAGGAAGTGGTTTTTATCATTAAGTGTTTTGTTTTTCATTTTTAAGATAAAAAACTTAAATCTATTAAAAAATGATTATTAATATAAAATTTCATTAGATATTTATCTAATTAAACCTCTTAAATTTTAAATTGTATTTTTTTTAATTTTGTAAAAAATAGTTTAAAAGTAAAATGTATATAAATTATTTATTATTAAAATTATATATATATATTTTTTTCTACTGCTATTTTTAAAAGGAATTAGTTAAATAAACATAGAATATAATTATAAAAAATTGTAAAAAATATAAAATTAGATTTTTAATTTTTTTTAAACATAATTAAAGTAAGTTATTTAAAATAGATATATAAAAATAATTTTTCAAGAGTAATTTTTACTTTTTTAAATAATTTTAGTAACGTATATAATTATAAAAAATTTATGAATTATTTTATACATTTTATACACGTATAAATTAAAGTTAAGTTTTTTTTAATTCAATTTACTTAATGAAAAAAACTTAACTTTATCAAGAAATATTAAAATACAAAAATAAAAATAATATTTATATATTTGTAAATTATTTTAATGAAAGAAAGTATATTTCTTTGGAATTTTAGATATATTATAATATAATAACTAATTATTAATTTATATTATTAAAAAATAGTATATGTATATCACAAATAACATATATTTAAAATCTTGAACAATTGAAAATGATTAAAAAATATATAAATACATATACACATTAAAATTATTTAATTAAAAAATATATAAGATCAATAAATTTAAGATTGTTAAAATAAAAGATTTCTAAATATGTGGAATCTTATTAGATCCCAATATTATTTTTGTTAGATTTATTATATTTATTAATATTATAATTCTTAGTTATTATTAGGATATACTAGAACTATGTTTTTCTTTAATACTTAAGTTTTCTTTTTAGTTTTTTAAACGTTTCTATTTTTAAAGTTAGCCAGAATAGTTTTGACTGAATTATAATTAATATTCAATATTTTAGCTGCCTTTTTTAAAAAAATAATAATATAAATTGTTAATGTAATATTTAATATTATATATACTTCAAATGGTGATTTATTTTAAGAGTAAACCAAATCAAATAATTCTTTTCTTAAAGAATCTGAAATTTTCATGTATTTTCTTCTAGCATTAGGATCTATGAGCATAATTTATTTATCAACTTCTTGTTAGATTTCTTCAATAATTTTCATTTATATAAGTGTATGTTTTTTTTTTTTTTTTTTTAAAAAAAAAAAAAGAGTAAATTTAATTTTATTTTATTTTAAATTATTTATATTATTTATAAGGAGAATTAAATTATTTTATTTAGAATGTTTTTATTTTATATTATAAAGATAGGTGATTGATATGTATTTAAAAAAATATAACGTCATATAAAAAATAGTGCATTCTATAATAACCAAAAAAAAAAATTAATATTAAATATTTAATAAAAATATATTTTTGCTAAAATTAAATTACAAAATATATAAATATAATATTAACGATTTAATTTTATTTTTAAACATATAAAGTTTTTTTTTAACATATATAATGTTATATAAGGTTGCTTTTTTAAATCAATTCTGTTTAAATAAATACTTATTGAAATGCATTTTATTTTTTTATTTTCTAATTTCTAAAAATACATTTTTTTAAAATATTTTATAATATTAAATAAATTGATATTTATATAGATTTATATTTTATATTATTTATAAATTGAGGCTTAGTTTTTTTTATATATATATATATATTTATATAAAAATTTTATTTTTAATTATATTTATATTTTCATCTTTCATTTAATTTAATTTTATTTTGTTTTTGATTTTGATTTTTATTTTGATTTTTGATATAATATTATTTAATTAAAATAATAATGTAATGTTTTTTTTTATATGCGTAAAATAAATGCGTCAAATAAATAATAGCTAAATAAAATAAATTTAATAATTGAAGATTAATATTATATATTGTAACAAATAGAAAATCATATTCATTAATAAAAAATAGGTAATATTGAAAAAAATTAATAACTCTATTTAATTCAAATAATTTTTCTTCAAATTTAAATTAAATACATTAAAACATAAATTATATTTTATCTCTTGTTTTTAATTTTAGTAATTTTTATAAATATAAAATAATTATATATCTTGTTTAAATACAAAATAATTAAATTTTAAATAACATTGCAAAGACAATAAAAAACTTCTAAAGGAACCTAAATTTTTGATTTAAAATAAGGTACAACTTAGATTTTTAAAATAAATTAACTTTTCTATTAAATAATTAAATATTTGATTTTTTATAATGTATTTTAATATTTATAATATAAATTAATATAAAAAATATATAAAATAAATATAAAAAATAATTTCATAAAAATTACCTAAATATATTACTTTCAGAAATTTTTTTATATCTTAAATATATATTAATCTATATTTACTTTTAATTATAAATTTATTTATATTTCAAAAAAAAAAATTAGTTTTTTATTTTTATCTTTAAAATATATTGAATATATTTGATTTTCTGATTTTTTTTTATATTTTTGTCCATAAAATATTTATTTTTTCTAAATTAATTTGTATTTTATTTTTATATATTTATATTAGATTTTATTTTTATTTTCAATCTGATCTATATTAACATTTTATGGATCATTGTAATTAAATTCATTTTATTTATTTATTATGGCATTTTAAAAAACTAATCTAATTATAATAGACAAATTTTTGGCGCATTTTTTTTGCTATAATTATCCATAATTTTACTTAACAAAATTTTTTGATTATTAGCATTTTTTGTTTTGTGTATTTAAATCTAAATTAATTTTTGGTAGAGTCCTTTTTTTGTTTGAATTTTTTCTAAATTCGATTTTTATTTATAAAATAGTTCTTATTTTCTCAATATTATTCAATTTTTATATTGCTTTACTTTAATATTTTTTTTTATCTAAAAATAATGAAATAATGTTCTAAAGTTCCTAAAGCTATTATTTTTAAAATTTCTATATAATTGATTTTTGTATTAAATATATTTGTAATTAAAGCTTTTTATAGAATATAAATGTAATTAATTATCAAAAATTTTATAAAAATTACATGAAAAAATTGATATTATTTATAATTAAAAATTTGATATAAAAATAAAACTTATTAAGTTAGTAAATTATTTTACTTATAAAATATTTCTTAAAAGTTTTTTAAATTAGATATTATAATTTATGAATAAATTTTAATCCACTAATTATTTAATCTAGTATAATTATCAAATATAATTTAATTCAATAATAAATTAAATGATATTAGAATTTTCAGTTATTAATTAATATTTCTATGTTATATTTGCATTAAAAATTAAATTATATTAATGTAATTATCTATTATATATCTTACATAAATGTAAAAAGCTAATTAGAAAATTGTTTAATATTTACATTAAATACTTAAACGATATTTGTGTTAATATTATTATATATATAAACAATAAATTAATATGAAAATAAACATAAAAAATAACACTTTATAATAAATATGATTCAAATGTAAATTAAATTATTTTATGAATATATATATATATATAATAATTTTATTTTTTAAATGTGTTTTAAAAAATTAATATAATATATATATTTTATGTTTTTTATTAATTACATTTATTCTAAATAAAAATTTAAATAATAAAAATACTTTATGGTTACAAATTAAAATTATATATATGTGTATAAAGAAAAAGACATATATATAAATATATATATATATATATAATTATAAATATATATCTATTTATTATTTTTATTTACTTATATTAATAATGTAATAATTTACTTTAAAATAAATATTTTTTAAAAAAAGACATTATTATAAAATATATTAATTAAAATCATTAAAAATTTAAAATTTAATTTTATCGAAAATTTGTTATTATAACAAAATGAATCATCCTATATAAATTTTTTCTATCTATTTAATTTATCTTCTATCCATAGGGCAATTATTTAATTATTCTGAACAGCTTAAGCAAGTACAGGCATGATTACATGGTTTAAATAATACATTAATAGGTTTATTATTACATAAGATACATAATTTATTTTATTCATTATTTTTAATTTAATTTTATAGTTTAAATATTATAGTGTTTTTTTTTCATTTATTATATCTAATTATCCTTTTATTTTTTTTCTATTTCTTAAATTTCTTAAAAGTTTAAATTATTGATGTTATTTTAAAATTCGTCATTATATAATAGTATATTTTATAGTTTTTAAATACTTGTTAAATATTATTTTTGTAAAGAATTTTCTTTTTTTAATAAAATTATTTGGTCGTTTAAATTGGCATTTTATTGTTCGAGTTTCTCACATTGTTACTGCTCATTTATATATTTCTTAGCGATCTTCATTAATAAAAGGCTCTTTTTTTTTAAACTTAGATATAACTATTGGTAATTCGGGTTTAAATATGACTATTTAAGTTCATCTATTTCTAAAAATTACTACATTTCTTACTCATTTTCGCTACATCTAACTTATTCTAAAATCATCGCCTCGTCTATTATAATTGAATCATCGGATAAATTGTTATTACTTACTTATAATTCTTAAGAAACATTATAAGCTGCATATTATGAACAATTTTATTCGTTATTATTTCTCATTCTGTTTAAATAAGAAGAACTTTTTTTATATTAAATTATTTATTTATTTTCTTACCTTTTTTGTTATTTTTACATTTCGTTCATTATGCTTTGATTGTTTGTGTATGCTTCAGAACTATTACTATTGTTTAAACTATTCATATTTTTTTTATTATTTTTAAAAATAAGAAGGCTTTGTTTTAAATATTATATTTATATATAGGATAAATAATTATTAATTTTTTTAAAAAATTAAATATATATTTATTTAATATATGTAGTTTTTTTTTTTTAAATATATATATATATATATCAAATTAATTTAGAATGTAAAAATAAAATACTATATAAACAATAGATATTATAAAATATATAAATGAAATCATCTACTTTTAAAAATATATATAAATATATTACTATGAAAAACAAAGAATATTAAAGATATAAAATAAATGAAATTTACTAAATGGATATTTATAAAGCTGAAGAATAATTAAAATCAATAAAAGAGAGTTAGTTTTGGCATTAAAAAATATAAGAACGGTCTATTTTTTTTTAGCAAACATTCAATAATATAAAAGACTAGAAATTATTATAAAAAGAATATGAAGAAATAATAAAAAGTGATTAAATAAATGAGAAATATATAAATTTTATATAAGAAATAGATAAATTAATGGATTAAATAAATAAATAAAATACAGAAAATGTAAAGAAATTAAATTAAATATTATGTTTAATGGAATATATGAATATTAGTAATATAAATCTATGGAAAAAAGGTTTCGAAAAAGCTATATTTTTATCAGAAAAATATTCTTTTAGTTTAAATCATAATTAAATATTAATAAAATTCGAGAAATATATAAAGAAATTTCACGCTATAGACAGTGAAATATATAGAACTAAATTTGTTTTCAAAGAAAGCTTTTTAAATGAGATTTTTACAAAATAAAATATAGGTTTGTTATTGCAGAATATGGAAAAAAAAGATCAATAGGAAATTTAATATAAAGGATTAATTGTAGGATTGTTTTGTATTAATAATATTATTAAAAAATATTAGAAAATATTTCCACTTGATAGTAAAAAAATTTACTTTTTTTTTAAAAAATATGAAGAATATGTATTTTATAATATTAAAAAATTTAATTTAAATTAATGTGTTAGTTTATATGAGTGCTTTTGTCAAAATGGAATTGTAAATGATAAGTTTTTAGGAGCTTTTCATGAGGTTTTTTTGGAGAAAGTTTAAGAAATTAATAATAATGGGCAGTTTGTAAATGTTATTTTGAATAGTTTTTAACTTACAGGGAAGGTTTGTGAAACTTTATATTATAAAATTATAGATAATAGAATTGAAGAGCTTTTTAAAATTTAAGAAAATCCATAAATTATTAAATAGTTTTAATTTTTTTGTTTTACGGATGTAAATGATATTTAAAATACTAAAAAATTAATAAATAAATGTTAGAATAGTGAGATTTTTTGTAAAAATTTAACAAATTATTAAAATTAATAAGTTTTTTTGTTCTTTTTGTATATTTTTAATTTTCATAAAAATTTATTCCCATAAAATTTTTTAAAGAGTGTTTTATATGAAAAAATAAAGAAATTTTAATAAGAAAATGTAAAAAATTATTTAAATATATATATATATATATATATATATTTATATATATATATATATATATATATATTTTGTTTGAAAAATATTTTTGAAAAAAGCTTAAAAAATAAAAATAATGGAAAATTTAGGAATTTATAGGAAGAAATATGTATTAATTCATTAAAAAATTACTTAAAAATGATTTAAAAAAGTGAAGATTTTATAATTTACACAAATTTGAAAATAAATATATTTGAATTAGACATATTAGTATATATAAAGGAAAGTAAAAAATATATAGATATTGAAATTTTGGGAAATTCATATCAATAAGAGGATAATACAGTTATAGGAAAGAGAAAATTTAGAGATAAAATATTAAAATAAATGGGAATCTAAATTAAATATTTTAATATTACGAATAATTGGAGTAATTTTAATCTATTGTCAACAGGAAAAACACGAGCCATTTCTTAAATTTAAATAGGAGAGAGAATATATAATAAAATTATAGAAAATTGAAAAAAATTAAATATATATATGTTAGATATATAATGTTTTTTCAATTTTATATTAAACCGAATTTTTTTTTTTTTAAAAAAAAAAAAAAAAAACTAAAATAATAAAAAAATGAATGATTATGAAAATCAAATAAAGAAAATAAATTAATTAAAAATCAATATTAAACATCCAATTGATCCTTTTTTTGATGGAGATGCTTCGCCTTTTTAAAGATAAGGGATGATCTTAAATTGTTTAAATTTTGAATATAGAAAGAAAAAAATATATGCTTAAAATCCTGGAGAAAGAACAATTTATTTAAACTCAGAAATAATAGAATTACCAAAAAAAATAATAAATAATGCCATAAATGGACTTACATATGGAATTTAATGTTATATGTGTATTAATAAAGATTTGTTCCCAAAACTAGTGACTATATATTAAAATTTAGAAAATTAATTAATCATAAATATAATACATCATAATAAATCAGAATTAGTTACTCAGGTAAATCTATTATAAATAAGTGATGTTAAGGAAGGAACTTAGTTTTCTCTTCCAGAAATTTTCGAGATTAATTAAGCAACTATTTTTAATACACTTTAAGTTTATTTGATGTAAGAAAAGAAAAATATTACTTTAATTTTTGAAAATTAAGAATATAGAGACTTATTATGGTAAGGATTTTAAAATGTTATTATAAAATATTATATCGAATAAGCTCAGTATTTTATATATATTTAAATATTTATATTTCAATATATATATTTATTTGTATAGATAAACTAATAATTAAAATATTTAAGAAATAATTGATAATCTTTAGAATACTAATCCTTAAAAAATGTATGATTTTTAGGATTTCTTAGACTTTTTAAGGATGAATAAAATACATACTTCTATAAATTTTGCAAAGAAATTATATTATAGAAATGACGAAGAATAAAAAAATAAAAAAATGAAAATGTAAATTAAAGATTTGGCAAGTTTAGTTGAATAATTAAATTATAAATAAGAATTATAATAAATTTTTAAATATTATATATAAAAAGAAAATTAAAATTAGATGGATGTTTCGGATTTCAAAAGATTTCTATATTATTAATAAAAAGAAGATATTACAACCACCAAAATTAAAGAAATATTCGCAAAATTATAAGAAAAAGTAATCGAGAAAAATTGTACTTAAGATATGATTACATTTAAATAATTTTGCTAATATATTTTTAATAAAAGAAATACAATTTTTAATCCTGAAAAAATGAAAATCTATATGGTATTTAAATTAAAAATTATATAAAATGTGAAATATTTTTAATATTCAAATATAGAATATGGATAAACCATTAACAGATTATTATATAAATAGTGCTAGAAATTTCTATTCAAGTAATATTGATTTAGAAAGAGTAATGTAAATATAAGAAGAAGAAAAAGAATAATATAAAATAGATTTTGAAAATAAATATCTTCCAATACATTATATTTTAAGTAAAGGAGTAAGATTTATAGAAATGGATGTTTGGGTATATTTGAATATAATTATAAATATATATATATATATATATATATATATATATATATATATATATGTATATATATATATTATATATATATATATATATATATTATAATATTTATTTCAATTATTATTATAGGATGGTGAAGATTATTAGCCAGTAGTATTATATGGTTATACATTAAATTCTCGTGTTTTATTAAAAGATGTATTTTAATTAATTGTCAATTATGTATTTTAAGTGAACCATTATCCTTTTTTTATACAACTTCATTTACATTGTTGTACTGAAGTTTTATTAAATGTTAAAAAAGCAATTGAAGATATTCTATTTTTATATTTGTGGATAATTCCTAATAATTATTATGAATATAAATAATATCCCTCACCTAATGAACTAAAAAGAAAGATTATTTTGGTAGGAAGGCTTCCTTTTAAATTAAATGATGAATTAAATTCCGACTTTCATTAATTAAGTATTATTTAAGAATAAAAATTAATATAAGAAATCGATGAGGAGCTTTTGTAAATTATAAGCGAGGATGAAAAAAACGAAAGATATAAAAATAAAAACCTTAAAAACTTCGGAACTGATATTATTAACTCTCCCTAATCATTAAACCAACTGAAGTTTAAATCACATATAGAAACTAAATATTCTGAAAATTAAACTATCGATTCATTCAGGAATGACGAGAATTATTAAGAAAACGAAAGTATTTAAAGAAAAAGTGTCTAAAGGTAATTTTCTCATAAAGACTATCCTGATGAAATATATTTGCATATAAAAAATTATAAAAAAGTGTTTTAATTAAACTCTTACGAGAAGTATTTTGGACTATTATAGGATAAATTTTTTGGCGGGGTCGGCTCTCTGTTTGAAATATATGGTTTGAGTACAAATGAACTATAATAAATACCAGAAAGTAAAGATTTAAAGCAGATATTTTTGAATTCTGCGGCTCGAAAAATGTGCGAAATAAAAAATTTTACTTAAATTCATTTTCTAAAGTTATTTCCTTCTGGAAAAAAAATAGACTGTATAAATATTGACCCATGTATTCCTTTATAATAGGGAGTTTAGTTTTTAATGAATCATCATCATGTTTTCGATAAAGCTTCGCTTTTAACTTTTTCGTTTTTTTAATAAAACGGGAGAGAAAGAAGTGGCTATGTTTTAAAACCTTAAGAACTATAATTTGGTTATTAAATTTAAAGTATAGAGAGTGTAAGTGAAACTAATAATATAATCCTTTAAATAGGAATCATTTCGGCATTTTAATTGAGGTCAATAAAAGGAGAATAAGTCGATCCTTAAATAGAAGTTATGTTAAGATAACCTGTATCTCCATTATAGAATTAGAACTAGTAAAATATTTACTCGAAATAGAATATTTTTCTAGATGATATTCCGAGGTATTATTAGGATAAAATAGTATATAAAACTGATATAGTATCCAATAACAATTATAATCCATCCTTTAATTTCTAGTGTAAATTTGCTATTCATGAACCGAAACTTTCTTTTGTTATTTTTTAAGCTATAAATACTAGATATGATAGTCTTATAGGATGGTATTCAGTACCTGTTAATTGTATAAGATAAGGATATAGAATAGTACCTTTAAGAGATTAATATTTTAATACTATACCAGAATCATATTTATTATGTCATATTAAAATTACTAAAGATATATGAAATATATATATTATATTTTGTGTTGTATTAAAAATATATAAAAAATATATATATATATTTTTTTTTAATTATTTTTTCATAAAGTATAAAAATCAATTTTTATTTTTTGGCTTATTCTGATATTATTATTGCATTCAAAATGCGTCAATACTGCAAAATTGCCTTTGGTTTCTTATTTTATGACATATCCGGGATTAATTACTACTGTATCATTGATTTTTTGGGCAAAACAAGGCAAATTAGACGGAGAAATAACTATTTTTGGGAAATCCTCATTTTCAACGTCAAAATTAACATCGAAATTTCCTATTTTTTCCAAATTTATATTTTCAGTAATTTTTTTGGGGTCTTTTTAGTCTAAAAATGGATACATTGAATAAAGGTTTTTTTGTGAAAAAATACTCTCGAAAACATTAGGTATTTACTATATAGGATTTTAGTTTTTTTTATTTTTAGAAAAAGATCCCATATACGTATTTAATGCAATATCCGAATTTCCTATATAAAAAGAAAGTTCATCCATTTCAAAATAAGCTGGATTTGAAAAACTTTTTATGTTTTATTAATAATTGCTTGATATTTGAATTTCAAGTGGTTATTAGGGTATATTTTCAAACGAAAGAACGTCTTTAGTACTCGGGATTACTATTATTTGAACATTAGGACCTAATGAGGTTGCTGCACGCTCAAAGAGGGAGTTTTGGAGTTGTTCGAAGGATAAATCAGCACCTAAATCGGATGTTTTTACCACTTGATTTTCTATATCAAGGAAAGGACCTAGCAAGATAAGGGCTGAAACCTTTATTTCTTTGGCTTTTTTTAAAAGGAGATCAAAAGCGTTAAAATTAAAGGTACTTTTAGGAGAAAAAGGTCCAGTGGAGATAATAATTTTTCGATAGTTATCAAAAATTTGTTCTTGATTTTCTTAGAAAGTTATATTTTTCCAAATATAAGGGTGAACTTCGGTTACATTTAGGTATTTTCTATTATTTTCTAAAAAACCTTCTAACATTAAGATTTAGTTTGGGAAAATGAAAATATTTTCCTATTTAAAATATTCGTTTTCAAAATTTAAATGGAAGTAGTTTTTTGAGTCAATTTCAAGAATTAAATTTGTTTCATTTGAAAAGCCTTTTTCTAAACAGGAAATTCTTCCCACAACTTTAATCTAAGAAGAATTCTAGAAATTATTTAAATCTTCATTTATTAAAACTTCTTCGCTATTTTTTTTATAAAAAGTTATATATTATTATATTTTTTATATTAATTTCTCTTTTATATCCTTTATTTGGGTATAATGTTAGTTATTTTTCCTATTTTATTAAATAAAATTGTCTTTTATAGTATATTTTTTTTATATTGAAGCTTTTTCATATGTAGGAAGGTGCTTATTATATGTAAATCTTTCCAAAAGTATAGTCTAGTCGGGAGTTTCTTATTCTTCCTATACTGTAATGTTTTTTATATCGAATATTTTAGCATCTGCTTTTTGTATTGTTTTTAATTATTTTAGAGCTGATTATTATGTTTAAGGGTTAGATTTTAAAACATGTTTTTTAAACTCTTCATATTCACCTTATTCAAATTTATTTTTTTTATTATATAAAATTGCTTCTAGTTAAGATGTCCAGGTTTCAGCTTTTTTAGGGTCGGATAAAATGTTGTTTTGGAGGGCTAAAGATTTAATTTCAGTTTGGAATTTTAAAGGGATTTTTTCAAAAATGTCGTCAAATTAATAAAAATCGTCGTCTTCTTCTTACATTTTTTTTTTATATATTTTTTTTTAAGGTTTAAGTTTTAAGCGCGGATATTTATTTTATTTTTAAATATTAATATATACTTTATAATTTTTTTTTTTATAAAATAATATAATTTTTTTTTATTATTATATTTAAATTTATTAATAAGCGTATATGAAAAAATATTAAATATTTCTTTTAATTAAAAATAAAAAAAAATACAATTTAAAAAAATATATATATATAAATATATTTTTATATATATATATTTATATATTCATAAATTTTCATATATTTTCATTTCTTATTTATTGATATAATATATTTAATTTTTGTTTTATATTATAATACTTTTACTATAAATAATCAAAAAGTTAATATTTTTATTTTATATAATATGGATTAAAATAAAATATTTTACATTTGTCCGAAATTAATTGAATCTTAAATTAATTTAATAAATAATCCATTGAATATAGTACTATAAATATAATTTTAAATAAAATAAATATCTAAAATAGAATATTTTTAATGAAAAACATTAAAATTACTACCACATATTTAATATTTCAGATATTCCTAATCAATAAAATTCAGAAAAAGTAAAAAATAATTAAAAAAATTTATAAAATAATTAAAATAAGATTTCCTATTTTTATTGGAATAAATAAGTAAAAAATTCACCTTTAGAAATTTTAATATAAATTTTTTAATAAATAAATGATTTTCTTGAATGTAAAAAAAAAAATACTAAAAAAATAATATTATAAATAAAATATAAAAAAAAGTAAAAATTGCTAATATAGCAATAATAAATTGCGATTATTCTGATATAAAATCAGCCAAAGCAATTATTTTTTATTTAATTTTTTCAGGAAAATTCGATAATTATTAATAAGCAATTTCCTATTATAGCAAAAAACGGTAATAACAATGAAAAAATATTTATTTTTTATATATATGTATCATTTTTTAATAAGAAATAAAAACATGAATATTTAAATGATAAGTGAATATGCGAAATATATTGGGTTGATTTGTAAACGAAGTTTATTTTATCCGTAAGTGAAATATATTTGTTCTTTGAATTTAGTTGGAATTCCAAGTTTTTCTAAAGATAATTCTTGTAGTCCTTTTATTGAAGTTTTTAATGTAGTTTAAGGGAAATATAAAAAAGTATATTCAGATGAAGTTAAAAACAATTAAGTATAAAAAGTTTATTTTAATAAAGCAAATAAAGAATTAAATATCATAAAAATACAAATTATAACTCCTTTTATAATAAATAATGATACTCTAATTAGATTTTGGCATAAAGGAAAAAAATAAAATATTTTCATGTTTAAATTAGGAATAAATACAGCATTTATATAAGAAGATAAGTATAACAAAAGATATTTATAATAAAATAAAATATTTTTGTTAGTATTTTAAGTTATGATTTAGAATAAATAAATCCTTAATAAAATGAGAAATATCCTAATTATTTTTAATGTGAAATATAATTTAATGATTATTGCAAATGTACAAATAAAACATCATTTTCAAATAAATGTAATGCTTGTATGAAACATTTAAAAGATATTAAAACTTAATGGGAAATAATTCACGATATTATAAATGTAAATATAATTAAAAATAAAATATAAAAAAAATATAAATATAAATATATATTTATATAAATATATATATATATATATATAAATATTTTATATATATTTTATATTAATTATAGAATTAATTTAAAATCCATAATTTACATGAATCCAAAATTGTTTTATTTGGAGATCCTGAATTTGATGATACTTAATTAATATTATAATGTAATTATTTTTATATATATATTCATCTATATATAATAATCAGAAATGAAATAAATATAAAATATTTAAGAAGAAGATGAAGAATAAGATATATCAGAATGATAAAAAAATATTTATATTTATATATTTTATAAAAAAAAATTAAAAAAGTTAAAAATTTTATTTTTTCTATATACATTTTAAAAAATACATCTAAATAACAAAATAAAATTCAATAATTATATATATTGGATTATTTTCATATTCACAAATTTAAAAGTTGCATTTCTATATTTTGATTATCATTATTTTATACATTTATTTATTATTCGATTCTCAGGAATACATTTTTATATATAAAATATCCAAAAACTGCACTAACAAAAATAATAATCCAAAAAAAAATTAAAATATTAAATATCCTTTAGCTAAATTCCCCACATTTATTATTATAAATAAAATTTAAAGTAATCATATTTAAAAAGATCATAAAAAACATAAAAACATCTAAAAAATCTAATTTAATGAAAATTTGCATATCAATAGATGGATATAATTTATTTAGGCTTAAATATATATAATAGAGAATAAAAAAACAATTTATAAATGATAAAAATAACATATCTATATTATTGATTCGGACATATCTATCATTGATTTGCATTTTAATTCTAATCGGGCATCTTCTGAAGGTTATACATAATATTGTAAATATTGTAAAATCACTATCCTGTTTATAGAATGTATAATTTCTTTTGCATAATTCATTAAAAAAAATTAAATATATATTTTTTTTTTTAAATATAATATATATAATAACTATTATATAAAATAATATAATTAAAACTTTATATAATTCAATTTTTTTTTTATTTTTATAAATATGGTTTAATTCAATTTTTATTATTAAAAAAAAAACCAATTAAAATGCGTATAAATCACATTTAATATTATATTTAAATAATAATAATGTTTGTTTAATATATATTTTTATTTAGTTATATTCACAATCTTTAATTTCTAAAAAATAAAATAGTTTTTAAGCTATTCGATAATTAATATTGATTTCATATGTATTAGAGCATTAAAGATATAATTAATTTATATTTATAATTTTTTTTATAATATAAAATTTAATTTATATATATATTATTTTAATAACAATCTAATTTGTAATCAAAAATTTTTAAATTTATGTTTTTTTTCAAAAAAAATATTAAAAATAATTAATTTTTAAAATTTGTTTCAATTAATTTTTAAAGAATATTATATAAAGATATCAATAAAAATATTTAGAATATTTATATAAAATTATTAAATAATAAATTTTATTATTTATCTTATAAATTTATAAATATTAATTTTAGAATAAGCCATATTATATTATTTATTTATTATAATATAATAATTTCTTATATTTATTCAATCTCTTTAATATTTATAAATTTAAGTAATTAAAAAAATATTTTAAAACAATAGAAAATTTTAAAAATATTTAATAAAAAATTTTCTGTGGAAGAAATAATTAATTTAATAAGGATAACCCTAAGCCTATATAAAAAATAAAGTTTATATAAATAATAAATTTAAAATTAGATGATAATAATAATTAATATTGAGCATTTATAATTATGGATATAAACTAAAATTAGAATTTAAATAAAAATCTTAAAAAAATAAAATTAAAGGGATAATAGTATATAATTTTTTATACTAGAGTATTTCTCCTATTTAAAGGGTACAATTTAAATAAATATTATAAGAATATTTAATTTTAAAATTATAAGTTTTTAATATTAAATTAGTAAACTTGAAACTTATTGAATGCTATAATAAGTAATATTTAAAAATTAAACAAATATCAATTTTAATTTATAAATATAATATATACAAATAAAAAATATTATATATATATAATATAAATTAACTTATATATATATTTTAATTCTTTTACATATATTTAACAGATATTAATATTAATTTATATTAATTTTGCTAATTAAAGTTTTTATTAATTTTACTTTTTTTAAATAAAATTTTTGAGTAATATTAGAAATTTATAAATAAAATATTATATATTGATATATTTTAATGTTTAAATTAAAACTAATAAAACTTTTGGAAATTATGAATATATAATTATATTTATAAAATATTTTTTTGAATATTTTAATTTATAATCATTAAACTTTTATTAAATATAAAAACTCTGAATAAATGTATTTTATTTATAATAGAATTTAATATATATGTATTTTAAAAAAAACAAAAAGTTATGTTGAGTATTATGAATGAAAACCTATATAATATTTTAATATATATTACAATTAATTTTTATAGAATTTAAATTAGTATTTTTTATTAATCAAATTTAAAAATCATTTATTAAAAAAGTCTTATATAATCAAATAAATTTTTAAACAATGATATTTTTTTTTTAAGATATACCTTTTTTATAATATTATAAATTAGTATTAATAATCATCTTAATTAGTAAAAAGCTTCAATTATTATTTCTTTTCTTCTAAATCTATTCCTTAAATAACTAAAAACATAAATAAATTTTTTCTTTTACATTAAGTAACTTTAAAATAATAACTCTTATGTTTAATTTTGTTTAATATAATATTTATCCTCATAATAAAGTAGTTTTTTATAATTTTAAATTAAACTTAAATA